TAATTAGCATAGACTATGCCAGATAATTGAAAAACAAAAATGGAGCAAAAGAATAAGCAGAGAGGATGGAGAAAAGGTCCTCTTCACCATATACAGACACAGAGAAACTGGGGGCTAAGACTGGGGCAACATAGTCCCACTGTGCCTTCATTTAGTAACGTTTAGGCATGAAATTCACATCAGCAAATTTGTGTCCATCAGGTTAGCCTGGTTTTTCTCACCTTCTTGTCTGCCAAAGGTCGTCTTCTTCTCTGAGCTGGTCATGTTGGCGAAGTTCATCTTGTGCAAAGACTGCAGAAGAGTATCAGTGTAAAAAGGGATTACTTCACGGTGAGATTAAGAGTTTGTCTTATCCTACATGCATGAGATGGCATTCCATGCTGCATGCGAAGCAGCTGCCCTAACTCAGTATGGTGTGGTTGAACTAGAAGCAAAGGGAATCTGGCAGCTATGCCCAGAGATCACTGAGTAGGAGGTACTAGGCAAGCTGAAACGTCACGATCCAAAAAAGAAGGAGAATTGCAAAGATTTTTCTAATCTAGGCAACTAATTTCCACCAGGAAGCAAAATAAAGTTTTATTCAGTCATTTTCAGGCTGCACAGGGTGTTCCCTGAAAGCATTAGTGTAATTGAGGGTTTTCTGATGACTGGACTCTCCTGGACTGGAAGTAGTGTGTATAAGAGGTGGTGAAAGGGAAGGGTTTGTCAAAGCAGCTGCAGTCTTCAGCAGACATGTAAAGCAGAAATGCTGTTTTCACATGGAGTGGAATTCTGGAGAGCTAGAGATAGGAGAGCATTACATTCTGAAAGGTTTTGATTATCATTTCTGTGGGAAAAATGTGTATTTGTGTGTAGAGGAAATGGGTGACTTGGATTTATATCAGGTTTATGTCAGGAGATATTCTGTCTTTATTATGTAGGAAAGAGTAGGAATTGGATCTATATGGAGGACTTAGGTTGACTGTGATTTAAGTGATTCTTCCCAGAAATGATCCCACCTCCCTGGCTTCTTGAATGAGCTACTTCTCAAAGCAGAAAAGAAGGCAGCAAACAGATAGCAGAATAGAAAATCAGTGTGACATCTGTCTTGCATATATGCTTATGTTTCCTTTTCTGATCTTCTGTGAGTTTTTCTGGCACAAAATGACTAAATTTCAACAAGTTCAAATCATGCCTCACATCATCCTATGCAGCAACTTGTTTACCCATTATATTACAGGCAAGCAATTTCAATATTGACAGATTGGCTAAAGCCCAAATTTGATATGCTGCTATTAGCATATTTTTACTGTTTCTGTGCTTACAAAGGAACCAGAATGTTCCCTGGCAGTCAAGGCTAATAAGTATGCAAATCATGATCTGTGCTTATAGGCACGCTCTTTTTTTGGTGCATGAATCACTATGCCAATTTGGCACTCCCCTTTCTGATCAGAGATAAACAGAGCTGCAGGGATTAGGGTGACAAATAATTTCTCCTGAGAACTGTCTGGGCTTTGAAATGTGCAGAATCGTGTTTAATCCCCCTTACTCTGTACCGTTCATGTGCTGTAAGAAAAGCTACCTACCAAAGGGTTAATACTCAGGTCTCTGTACTAGAATATGGGAACCCATGAGGGTTTCTAATTTTTAAGGTCACTTTTAAGCTTAAATCTTCATGAGCTAAGAAGTGGCTTTGTATCTAATAATTTTAGGGACTGAATAGAGATTTACATTACAAAGGGATCTGTATGAACCAAGAGCATGTGGAACAAGATCTCAGAACAAGCAGTGATCATAGTTACTATGCATATACATTTCTCAAGCTCATATCTCCCCTATCTGTGCACTTTCTTCAATCACGATAGTCTCAGTATGATGAATGGCACTTCTTTAACAGCTCAGATCTGCAGAGTATACCCTCCAGACCACTATTCCTTGTACTGCTGGGCACTTCCACATGAGCCCTGTGTGTCTGGAGCATTGCTTTGTCATGTAAGAGTGACAACATCATCTTTTTTGTTCCTTCTGTGCTGTTTTAGAACTGTGGGACCACTTCTCTCCACTGTCAAAATGCACTGTGCATCGAGAAACCTACAAGGCATTTAGGCATTACAGCAGTGGAGGTCACTGAAGTGCGTAAACAGACAAAATTATACTGGAGGATGCTAACAAAGATCAAAAGGAAAACTTATGATTCCTTTTATGTTGCAGGCATTTCTTTCTCCCAGGCTCAGCCAGTCCATCACGTCTCACTATCCCTTTGTTATCTGCGCCCAACTCCTCTCTACTTACAGTAATAGCTGCTGTTTTAAGTCCCAAGGTAAAACTCTTTTATCTCAACTAATGCTCTTTTGAGAGCATCAGCAAAAGGGCTAGGAAGTGTCATCCATGTTGAATGTAAAAGGGAGTCTCTCCTGTGGTTGAATATCAATGTATTTGATCTTGAGTCAAGCCACGTAGTGGATGATTTGGGAGCTTTCTGTGTGCCACTGCTGATCAATCCTTTTATAATTCTTTTTATTGTCTTCTCACTAGGAAGGCTTGAACATGCAGCTTGCTTTAATTTCCCCATTTTTACCCAGAGAAATAAAATGTGCTTACCTTGTCCTTTTCCCAGGCCTACTGAAATTAGCTACAAGCCTTCTTCATCACCATTGGAAACTCCGTGAGCTCACTTGAGCAACCTAGATTAAAGATCACATTATATATAGGAAACAAACACACAAACAACAAAAACCAGTGCACAGAAAGCCATGAAGTCACCTGTTTCCTACTGGAATGCCCATTCGGATGATGCATTTTTAAATTACTTCCAGCTGCCAGGGTCTTGCTGAACATCTGGCAGGTCCATATAGCCCCTCAGTAGCACATGGGTCCTTACAGGACCAAGGTCTTATCTAGGATTTGAAAGCCCTGATCTCAATTTTCTGCTGTGTGATAGATGTACCTGGGCTACTAGTTTAATCTCTCTAGGTCCCATTTTCCTTTCCTAAAATGGGTGCATTTTATACTTGCTGTGAGAATAGGTAAGTGCAATGAAACACTCAGATATGACTTGACGCAAATAATTTAATACTGAAAAATGTTTGAAGGGGAAAAAATCTCAAGGGAAATGGGACGGTAGAGTTCTTAGTGAAGAAATAGAAAGTCATTGAAATCAAATGGGAAAAAAAGAATTTTTGGAAAGACAAAAAATGTAAGACAATGGTCAGTGCTGCAGAGAGAAAAATGGAGAGGATGGATTCCGTTTGTAGAATTGTGGGTTAATATTAGTTTTATCCAATGTCTCTTAGGTACATGAGATGACTGCTCAATCACAATATTAATAAATGGCTTCATAAATAAGCTTTTCTTCTCACAATACTTTTAATGAAGGGACATGTGAATGCTTACAGAAGACCACCTAGATGTCTCCTAAGGCAACGTTTCCATGTTTTGGCAGATCTCAGGATGCTAAGGCTTGTTAAAAAGTGGTCAATGGTATGCATTCTGAATGTGTCCTTGACTACATGTCAAATGCACTGAAAAAGCAGCTTTCAGAGCAGCCCCAGGCCAGGAGTACTTCACACTCAGCCCATTCTCCATTCAGCCACATCCATGATCATTGCTGACTGGGACTGATCAGGCACAACCTGAACTCTGCGCTCTCCTTTGCACATGCTAACTGGTTTGGCACATGCAAGGCAGGAGAGTTTGTTTTGTTACCCGTATTAGGGGTAGTAGTATAGATATTTTTTGTCTCTAATTCCCACAGAAGCTTTTCCAGTGGGCTTCAGCGTGCTTGAGACCAGAATGCTAATCCGTGCCATAGCATTTGCATTGCAAGTACCAAAGAAAATCACATCTGTATGTATGATTGATTACATTTTGTCTTGCAACGATAATGGGCAAGTGCAGAATATGTACTGCTGGAAGGAAGAAGAAAGAAGGGCTTAAATATCCATGCAAAGATTTAGAAATATTGACAGCGCACTTCATGAAGGCTCCTTACTCATGAAACAGACACTGCTCCTGAGGCCACTGATTTTACAAGTGGTGATTCAAAACCTGAGGTAAGAGCCAAGGCTTGTGATGAAAAATTGTATTTAATACTTAGGGCTGTGAGTAACACTGACCACATTGTGAGTAATATTTCTCCGCAGAGGAGCTTCTGTTTCAACATAAGGCCCAACGGTATCAGACAACACTTGGCCTCAATAACCATAAGAAAATAGCCTCCCTTCAAACTAAAGGGTAGCTAAGAAGGTCGTGGTCTTTTGTCTTGGTTTTCTGCAGTCTCTAATATGTAGATTAACACCTGAAACAACAGTGTGATGGAGAGGTTCTCAATTTTCCTGTGGGCTCTTCCTATGGAAGGCATTAAAAGGCATTATTTTATGTGTTATTCAAAGAGTGGGAGCAGAGCTACCCAGAAAGAGGTTCTAGGTTTCTTTTTAATTAAATGTGCCTGATATACTAATTAGGCTAAAATAATCTTTTTTCAAGGGATGTGGTGTGGTAACAAAGTTTTGCAGATAAGCATTCTTGATGGATGTGCCACTTGCCTACAGTCTTGATGGAAAGAACATGATAATCTTGCCTATTCCTTAGTAGCAGCACTCACAAATGTTTCCTACAGCTATTTTGTTTGCTTACATAAAGATTGGGGCTTGCCCAGGTTATTACCATTAATAAATTATGAAGAGCACAAAAATATATGAAGATGTACATCTGAATGCATATTGGTCTTCAAAGAAGAGTCAGCTCCATAGAAGAAAATCCTTACTTTTTATCATGTATCAGGATCTACATTCAAACCACAAATCTAGCACACAAAAATACTGCTTTTTTGTGGATATCAGGAAGGCCTCGTATATCTGTGCACTACAATTTCAGGTCACGGTCTGAACTGAAGAGAGCACCAGATAAGAAGGCACAACTAGCCTGGAGAGCTCAGGTGCAAGCAAGGCACCTGAGTGATTGGAAAAGGTGGAGCCAGGATCCACCCCTCCTCACCCTCATTTAAGGGTTGGCAGCCAAGGGAGCGACATCTGTTCTGGATGGAGGTTGCACTCCTTTTGAGCTGTTGTTGGAAGGGGTGAGTCTATTGTTATTATTATTTTAATCCTGCTACTGCTCTGCAGGGTTTGTATACCCCTAGAAGGCACTGTCGCCACCTTCTTTTGCTGTACATGCTGCCTGTATAGTTTGTGCTAATGTGGAAAAAAAAAACCAAAACTTTCTAACACTCATACCATGCTAGTTCAGGACCATTCATTATTGTAGCCAAAGGGACCATTCTGATGATCTAAGCTTACCACCTTCCAAACCAAGACAAGAGAGCTATACTTAAAACCCTTAGTAATTATGTGATGTTGAAAGGCATGTGATTTAAGATTTTATATATCTAATTTAACAAGTTATGTCATATCCGTAGATGAGTTATTTGACCAGTTAATTAGCCGGCTATTTAAGATTTGTTTCATTAGAGCATGACCTGGTACAGTTTCAGTTTCCAGCTAGTAGCTGCTAACATGCAGTGCCTAAAGGCTGCCTCATGTTTATCAAGGTAGGTGTCTGTAAATTATTGTCATAAAACATTTTCTCTTCAGGTAGAGCCAAACTAGGTATATTTTAAGTATCTTGGTGGAATTGTGTCTCCTATATCTATTGGAATTTCTAAGAATTAAGTACCCTGGAGGTCTTTTCTGACCCCACTTTGAGGTTTTTCATCATATTTTATGAATGATAGACAACAAGATTCCTCAATAGACTCATTTGCAGAGCTGAATCTGATTTAACTCTCCTGTGAAATCCTGTTCCTTGCCCATATAGCAGCTGTGCTTGAGCTGATCACCACAATATTGCACTTGGAGGATGTCTAAGTATCTGTCATTACTCCTATACTGATGTGAGGCAGGCTGCATTCCAGTATGCATGATCTGCAGTGAGAGAGTGGGTGAAAGGAAACTTACTAGCTTGATGGAAGCTGACCCTTGTTATTTTCATGTTATTATTGGATAGCTCATGTTGTTGGTGTTCTTTGCAGTTTTGTTTTTTAATTTGTTGTACAAAAAATATATCCCAATCCTTTTTTTCTTAGTAAGGAAAAGGTTGTCTGTGCTTGAGATAAAGCTTTCTGACTCATTCTCTCCACTAGCTTTCTTGTTTTGATCTCTCCATGATGTGGACACCCTCACAGGGATTTTTCTGTATGCACTGTGCTCATCATCCTGACGAGACTGATACATCTTCAGCATTGTAAACTGCTGCTTTTTTATTTTCCCACCCATTCTAATATCCAAAAAATACTGGGAAATAAGCTACCCTTACAATGTGATATACATGCTGGCTTTTGTCATGACAAATGTATTTAGCTGGCAGCAAAGTAGCAAATACATTAAATAAGGAGTCTGTTGCCCAAAAGAAAAAGGTTAATTTTTTGCATTTTGCCTGTTACTGTAACTGAGTGTTCCCTATCCAAGTCCTCCATCTGTGTACACACTATGGGATATTGCTATGCAATGAATTCCTGATTCAGCAAAATACTCTTAACACATGCTCAGCTTTGAACGTGCTTCAAGTAGTATTTGCTGAAGCAACAGAACAAAGAATAATTTTTCAAAGAAACAGCAAAAGCAGGCTGAAGGAGGATGAGATCTGTGAAAAGACAAAATGAAATCAAACAAAAATAAACATTGGCCTGCTTGAATGGGAGCAGGTTTCTATGGATTGATGTATGGAGACTGGGTTGTACCTCTGCTCCAGAAAGATCATGTGATGAGAGGTGGGAAGTAACAGATCTGAGACCTCTTGTGGGACGGTCTCCTAAATTTATGTACAAAAAGTGCCTCTGAGTAGCAACATATCTCAGGTCTTCAAAGTCCTGGAGTATTTTTTGTCATATATTTATAATGACCCACAGCTCAGACAGGAGAAAAAAGATATAAACACCAAACACAGCTGCTTCTAGCCCATTGGCCATAAAATCATTTTCTAGTGATTCCAATCTCTTATGCCCTTGTTAAATTGCCCAGGCCAAATCATCATCTGTCAGGCTTATCCAGCAATAAAATTGTTTTGTGCTCAAGTGTCACACGAATTTGACAGTGGTGTTCAGTATTCTGTTCTGTACTTCAAAGCAAAACTGTGAAACAAAGCCAACACCACCTCTAGAGATGGGAAGTTACTGTGGTGAACCTCACAAGTGTGAAAATTCACATCTGCCAGCTCTCTGGTGATGTCCTGTGTTTCTTTTCCATGCTCTCTGGGTCTGTATTTCCAGATCAGTCATTTTTCTTTCTATGTTTTTGCAAGGGTTAGGTGCAGAATGTGAAGTCAACATTTCCTTGATTTCATCTGCAACTGTAAACATCTGTAGCTATGCCAGTACTGTTTCTATTTTCTTTATTTCCTCTTTTTTCCACATAGAATCATAGAATCACTAAGGTTGGAAAAGACCTAAAAGATCACCCAGTCCAACCGTTCACCTATTCCCAATAGCTCCTACTAAACCATGTCCCTCAATGCAACATCCAGTCTTTCCTTGAACACCCCCAGGGTCGGTGATTCCACCACCTCCCTGGGCAGTCCATTCCAGTGCCTGACCACCCTTTCTGAAAAGTAATACTTCCTCATGTCCAGCCTGAATCTCCTCTGCCGTAGCTTGAAACCATTCCCCCTGGTCCTATCACTGATGACACGAGAGAAGAGGCCGACCCCCAGCTCACTACAACCTCCCTTCAGGAAGTTATAGAGAGCAATAAGGTCTCCCCTGAGCCTCCTCTTCTCCAGGCTGAACATTCCCAGCTCCTTCAGCCTCTCCTCATATGGCCTGTGTTCCAGACCCCTCACCAGCTTTGTTGCCCTTCTTTGAACACGTTCCAGGGCCTCAATATCTTTCTTGCAGTGAGGGGAAACATACTAACAGAGTGCATACGAATGGTTGAACTACCCAAACAGTGGAGAATATTACTTCACTAGTTAAAAGCACTGAAAATCAGAATGTGCTTTAAAGCATGAAAGCAACTGGATTGGAGATGGCTAACTGTTGAATGAAACCGTGTCACTGTATTGTCTATTGAGCAATAAAGCTGCTCTGCTGCCATTGCCCCTTCAGGAGCATCCTCCAGTTACCAGTACCAGAAACAGATGTGATGGGGGGGACACCAAAGACACCAAATTATTCTACATAATGTATTATTGAATGTTTATCTTGAAGTCTGCTTCCTTCTTGTTTTTGTTTTTTTGTTTTTTTTTGTTAGGGGTCAGGGAGACTTGTGCCCTTTATCATAGAATGGAATGGATTGGAAAGGACTTAAACATCATCCAGTTCCAACCTCCTACTGTACCTAAGCTTGCCACCCACCAGATCAGACTGCCCATCTAACCTGGCCTTAAATCTTATCTTTAAGTGAGTCTTGTCTAAAGAAAAGCATTAGGTGAAAAGCCAAAGTAAGCATAAGGTAAAACTGAAGCATCACAGCACTCAATTTTTTGCTGACTTCAGTGGACTTAAAACAGCATCTAGGTGTGTTAGTTCACAAGTTCCAAAATGTATTAAGTCCTTTAGACTGGAAAAGAAGCAGCCATGGTTGAAGATAGTGACACTCAGTAAGTAAATGCACCTGCAGCAAATTTTCATTACCTCACAGATGGGGTGGGCTGTGTCTACAGAGCAAAGTGTGCATAACTGCCTTTCTCCAAATTCCACGTTCTATGGCCACTACTATTCATACATAAAGCTTCCTGAAAAAGAAAAGTCTAAGAAGCACAGAGGAGTGCAAACAAGCTGAGCACACCACTCTAGCTGCTGTATCTGTGTATCTGCCTTTAGATTGTTCTGCCTGTATTTATGAAGCATCTATTAACTGGTAATCTCCAAGCATCTCAAAAGCTCCCATGAATTCAGGATGAAGGGCTCTTTTGGTGCAGCAAAGTATAATTACACTGCCACTATCTTTCCCTCTTTCTTTTCCAACTGGAGAAACAGAGACAAATTAATCACCAAGTTTTGTCACCCTTATTTAAGTTGAACAGTTCTTTTCCTGAATAGTCACCTCAATTCCTCCTGGCTGAATATTGTACTGCTTAATTTGGGAAACTGGAGCAGATGCAGGTGTTACATGACTTGTCTTAGAATTTTGATGAAGGAGACAGAAAGAAAATCTGTTGGCTTTCAATTTGCTAGTCTGAAATTAGAGTAAACAGTTTGAAGTTAGAGTAAATCATCCATCTGACAGGACTTTTCTGTGGGGCCTTGGTAATACTGGACTCAGCAGCATGTTAAACCATCTTTCACAAATCCACCGTGTTAACCTAATCCCAGAGATGATTCAAACACTTTTTGGTAGGTTGGTATCTCTTTTCTGAACTGATGATGGTGAAAAAAATCTTAAATGTGTGGTTGTGTGCTTAAAGAAATGTCACTGTTGAATTTTCTATGTTCTATTATATTTTCCAAAGTTGGAACTTGCTTTCTCTCAGTGCCATCTCCACCTTCCTAATCAGTGCTGAAAATGGTTCAGACGGAAGCTTGGCTTCTGCCTGTGATAAGTTGATGATGTTCACATTCAGGTTGATGATGTTTTTGGTGATGTTGAGGGATTTTGTCCCTCAGAATGAGAAGCAGTTACTAATATCTTGCCCACAAATATCCAACTCACAGGTCACCTTCTTCCATTAAAATGTTCTTCTCCTAGAGCTGCACCTTCTCACAGGTTTTCATAGACTCACCTTGATCAGCTTCCCCATTCCTCCCTCCAAATGCACAACAAAGTGGGAAAAGTGTTCCCAGATAATTTGCAGGAGTGCATTATACTTGCTCAGCGCTGCCTAACAATTAGTGTCACTTGGCATGTTACTGTCTTTTTCCTTCTAGAAGCAAATTCAATAGCTGTTTCAAAAGAATGGGGGTGGTTTTGGCAGCTATGTGACCCAGATACGAGCCTGAGTTTGAGAGTATTTTCGGCAGTGCTGTCTTGGCTTATCTCTGGGTTGGGAATGTGAAGCTCTCTGTAAGCATCCAGCTGCAGTGGAGTTAGGCAGCTGGAGTCCTGGCTGCTCGCTTAGGGCAAAACGTCAAGGGCCAAGCTGCATAGAAAATGCCCTTGGCAGCTGCTGAATGGAGGGAGGAGTGGAGAGAAGGCAGTAACAGTGGGTAAAACAGATCCTGCAAACAAGGGGGGGGGGAAGCTTTGCTGCACCTGAGATGGGGAGATGGTTCTCTTCTGGGTTTGGGTTATCTGGTTTCCAGCTTTGTCTTGGGATCCTAATCAGCTCAGCAGAGTATGGGGCAAGAGGGGTTGAGGACAGCTCCTGTCTGCTCCCAGTACATACCAAACCAAACAGGAGATCTGCAAAATGTAGACTAAGGGAGTTCTAGTGGGGGAGTGTCACACCAGACTTCTTTTGTCACCTCTTTGTCTGAGGAAAAGCAGTGTTGTGTCAGAAGGAGATTTAAGGTAGCTTAAGATTTAGGATTCAGGCAGCTGCCTAAATGCCTGTGCTCTGCTGTGCCCACAGGGACAGGTGTCAGCAAGTCAAGTACCTCCAGTGGGGCAATGTGTTCATTTTCCTGCCTCCAACTGTTGCCACTGTCAAGGACGTTGCATCATGTTGCACAGCCTGCCTTATCCTCTTCCTGGCTTGTTCATTATACTAAATTTTGTAGGCTTGTAGAAAGGAGGCAGTGCCAGCTTCTTGTCACCTAGGAAAGCTCCTGTGTCATGGGGACTCCTTGACAGCTTCATTTGGGCAGCTTTGTTTGTTCTCTGTGCTGTATTAGCAGCACAAATGGGTGGAAACTGAACCAACTATCCAGCCTCCAACATATGAGCTGGAATAAGTCAGCTCCAGAAACATTTTTCCTGTATTTTATGCTCGCTGCAGGAGGTGGTGGTTTTTGTCCAGGAGAGCTGGAGAGAAAACCTAGCAGGTGACAACAGTGCAAACAGATTGAGAGGATGGCATGGAGATGGAAAAAATGCCAGATATCTCCAAATCCAAGTGCCTACGCTTAGAATCATCTGTCACAGTGATTGCACCAAGAGTCTGTTGACTGCAGACTGATGGTTCTCAGATATTGTTCTTACATCCCTTTCCGTGTCCCTTTACCATGATCACACAGGTTGGGGTGGGCTGTAAATGTGAGGACAAGGAGACTTTCAATAAAGGGCATACTATCCAGTATCTACTTTTGAACCAGACAGCCATGTGTGAGAGGTGGCTAAATTTAGGTGTGTTGTCTGTGAATGGCAAAGAGAAAGAATCTTCAACCATTAGCTGCTATCAGAGCTGGCTCCCACTTATTCAACTTCCATTGTCCCGGTTAGGGCTGCACTCCAGAAGTGAGGAGTTAGCTGGTTAGGACTTATTATGAAGGCCATGGGGAATTATTTGTGCTTATTCATATCTCCTCACTGATGACTTTATGCACCTGGAAAAGAATGAATGAGTAGAGTTTACAGAGTTCTTTTGGTAGAAATTTACTGTGCTTATTTTCCTTGTTTTTCTTGTGTAAGCACGTGGGGAAGAACAAGCCATAAAGTGTCCCGTTCTATACTAGTTTAAATGTTGAACTGTTTAATTTCGGAATTGGAGGACATGTTAATGATAGCATAATCCAGTTCAAATACATTATTGGCTAATTGTATCCATACTGGGTGCTCCTTTCCAGCTGCAGCCTCTTGTTGGATTTCCCCAGCCCCGTGACACTGGTTTCCATGTCTCTCCATTTTCTCTGTTTCAAGCACATGAGTAGATTTATTCACTTAAAGTGAAAAATGCTTAAGATCCTTAAAGTGAAGCATATCCTTAAGGGTTTTGCTGGACAAAGGCCAAAGATGTGCGTTGTTGCTCATGTCTCATCGTGTACATGAGACATCCACTAACAAATAAAACAAGTTCTGTCGTGTGCTAATGGCACTCTTTTCAATTTGCTAGCGGACATGTTTTCCTGTGCAGATGTTTTTGAATGTAAACAAGGAAAAAAAAAAACAGCACTGAAGTGGTCAACATTTTGGTTTTCATTTCATTCCACAATTACAATTTTAAGAATGATTTCCCCTTAAAACTTGCAATTGTTTGTGCCTTGGCACCCAGAGTGGCACCATTTGTGGGGCCTGAAAGGAACAGTGCATTCAAGAAGTGCTGATGCATGCAGCTTCACTCCAACTATGGGAAAGCACTGCTATAATTAACTCCAGGGATTCTCTTCATTTCCATTAAAATTACGATATGTTTTCCCCTGTAACCTGAACACTGACTGCAAGGTTGTGTTTTTTTTGTTGTTGTTTCGTTGGGTATTTTTGCCTTAACCCTTACTTTTTAATTCACACTCTTTAAGAATGAAAACTTTTTTTTTGAACTTTGATCCTCTGCCAAAACTTGTATAAGCAGCGGTTTACGAAATAATGTTTCTCCTAATTTATGCAAAGAATGGGAAAGTATTCCCACTAATGCTACAGATGGCCATGCCCTGTCTGTAGCTGCTGTGTAATCATAATAATGGAGATCTGACACTTCTGCACACTTATAACAGTTGTGCCACAGAATCACCCGGGTTGGAAGGGACCTCAAGGATCATGTATTTCCAACCCCCCTGCCTAGCAGGGCCACCAAACATACACATTCAGATCAGGTTGCCCAGGACCCCGTCCAACCTGGCCTTGAACACGTCCAAGGACGGGGCATCCACAACCTCCCTGGGCAGCCCGTTCCAGGGCCTAACCACTCTCCTTGTAAAGAACTTCCCCCTAACATCCAACCTAAATCTTCCCTCCTTCAACTTGGATCCATTTCCCCTAGTCCTGCTGATGTCAGCCCTTTTGAAGAGTTTACTCCCCTCCTGGGTGTAGGTTCCCTTCAGGTATTGATAGGCTGCAATGAGGTCACCCCGCAGCCTTCTCTTCTCCAGGCTGAACAAGCCCAACTCCCTCAGCCTGTCCCCATAGGGGAGGTGCTCCAGCCCCCTGATCATCTTAGTTGCCCTCCTCTGGACCCTTTCCAAAATCTCTATGTCTTTATGCCACCTAATAGGTTTATTAGTCTAAGCTCAATAGCTCTGCCAACCTGAGAAAATCTAAAGGACAGTCTCTTTCTTTTACATTACTGTTATGTTTTCCCAGGCACTTTAGGAAACAGCAATGAATGAGCCTTGGCTTACGCTGAGAAGAGCTGCTGAGCATCTTTACTGATTGTATGGTGAACCACACTGCTTCCTAACTATGGCAGGTACATCTCATCTCTGTGGCAGCTCCCCCCCCCATATTAAAAATGATCACCTGTGAAGCTAGCCAAGGGAAGGGGCTGTGTCCATGCAGGATGGCTGTGAGCAAGTGTGAACCTTTCCTCTGAGGTCAGGAAGCTTTGAATAAAGCCTTAGGCAAACAGGAGGTGTCTGTGACCACTGATCACACCTCTGGGAAAGGGCTCTCTCAAAAGCTGCCCCAGTGGGGACCAAATCTCTGAGGATCTTTGTCCCGTTTGGATCTAGAGGCAAGAGGGTTGCAGTGTGATATCTGTAACAAGACAGAATTAAAAAATGCGGAGATCTGTGCAGGTTAGTACATGAGATGGCTCTGCATGTTAATTATTCCTGTGGCTCTAACAGCTTTCTTTTGATGCTTAAAGACAAATGTAATAAGAAGATGAGCTGAAAATGATGACTGCTGTCTCAATAAGCTGCAGAACCTCCATTAACACGATGTATTGGAACATACTTTTTCCCTATCTCTAAAACATCTGTAGTTGCATTGAATGCCACCTGAACGTGTGCCTGTGTCTCCAGCAGGCACAGCACCTTAGCAGTCTCTCCCAAGAGCAGATAGCAGCTGTTTCTTGAGTGTTTCACTGCATGACGAAGCACAGGATTGCATAATAAATCTTCAGCGTGTCTCTGGGCAGGTCACTGATAACCTGTTTCAGTCCATTCCTCCTGCTGTTTGGTATACACGTCTGCTGTGCACACTGTAAATGAGGAGCCCACTTTCTGCATGGAGATCTGATGAATGGCAAAGAGACATAATTTATAGGGAAGCAACCTGAGCACTGGGATCTTTTCACCCATAAATAATGTGCCTTTTCACATGATTTTGAAGATCTGAGTCTTGTGGTGAAGCACACTATGGTGAAATTCTTCCCTGTGGTTACCTTGATGGACTTCCCGTGGCAGAGGCAACCCAAGCTTTGCGATGCCTTTGGGTGGAAATGCAGAACTGAAATACAGAAGTGCAGCCCTTTGTTGAAAATTGCTGCTTAAGACAGGAAAGAAACATCCTGGGCTAAAGCAAAGGCCCTGTGGGACCTTCTGCCCTGAGTCTGCTCTTTGTCAGAGCTGATGGCAGCAGCCTGGGTGCATGAAAGGCCCAGATCTCATGACCTCAGAGCCCTTTCCTTTGCTGTTTTTATTAATCTTCTCTTGTAAAGCTCCTCCCTGTTATAAGCTCCAGCTTTGGCTTCTCATTAATTGCCACTTAAGAACTGGACTGGCGGTTTGGACAATTAATAGCCTAATAAGTGAAGGAGCCTTTCACCTCAGGGTAAGAAATTCAAATCCAATCCGCAGCAGTAGTCTGGGGAAGTCATTAGCTCCGGATGGCTCATCAACAGCCAGCTAAACTGTGGCAGAGACCCTCCTGCCCTCCTTTCTGCACAAGGCACCGTGTCCCTACATCCCCGTGTCCATGGCCACAGGGCATGGGCTGATCCAGGTGAGAGAACAGCTCGTCAGCCTGGTGTCCGATAGTGGGGTGATGCTGATTTGTTCCCTGTGCTTGAAATGAACCCTGTGTGTATTGTGAGCATCTGCAGGACAGACAGACTCATCAGGGCTCATGCTCAACACTGATGAGATGAATCAGTGGTCGTGGTTTCAGCCGCCTGTCCATCTCCCTTGAAAAGTCAAAAGCCATTTATCTGGCACACTCATATTCAGACCAAAAGTCTTATTTCTTATGCAGCTTAAATTAAATCTTATTTTGGGGCTGCTTATCTTCTGTGACCCAAATTAGTCTCTCTTTTTTAATTATTTGTAGTATGATTGCAGAGAGAATTCAGTGCTGGTGGAAGTGACTGGATTCACAGCTGTGGAAATGGAGATGGAGACACCCTGTCTCATGCAGCAACTGTCTGAAGGACGGCTGCAGGACCATGCGCTGCCCTTCATCTGCTCCCAGTCAAGGCCAGGAAACCTGCTCATGTCACCCTGTGGACCAGTTCCTGTAGGCATTATCTGCAGACACTGTCAACAACAGCTTGCAATTTCATTCTTGCAACTACAGTGCTGGACATGTGGGGGTTTAATGAGAAATTCAATCATCATCCCAAAACCCAAATTGTGTTTAAAATACGTTTCCACCCTGCCCTGCCATCTTGCTTCTGTTTAGAGCGTAGACAGCTCTATGCAGATGGGAATCAAACTGGCAGACTCCTTGGTGCCCTCTGCATCCCTCGACCTGAGTCACAGCCTTTGCAGCAGGAAAAAATGCGGGTCCTTGCCTCAATTTGCAGAGCAGATTTTGAGAGCAAACCTGTCATCACCAATGCCCTAAGCTGATAATGTGCATGGGGAGGTTAAGATGAGGACATCTGGTTTGTTCTATTTCTGGTACAAGAACAATATCCACCCGTCAAGGGGGAGGGCAGACTGTTCAGCATGGTGGCATCTCTAGCCAGCTAAATACAACTAGGCTCATGAGTCAGTTGTCTTTCTAGCATGGCATCAGACAAATATCTGAACTGTAGCATACAAAGGGTCCTTTGTTTCTATTTTAAGAGCTCTGTGAACAGAGCTAGAATACTGCAGCTATTTTCCACTACGGTTTATCCCTCCACACAGAGTCTGCTCTGATCAGGCAACAAAATCCCAGGCTTGGAAAAATCCTCGCCTCATGATCAGTAAATTCTGCTGAGAGCAAAGCAAGGTAAAAACATGAAGAAAAAAAAAAAAGAGTTGGTGTGGGCGCAGAGAAATAAAAAGAGAAAGCAATGCAGAAGAAGACATCAAAAGTCATAACTGGAAAGGAAGGAAGATATCAAGAAATACAATTGCAAATCAGAGGAGAGACTGGACAAAAACAGAGCATAGCAAGATCTGTTATTAAAGAAAATGTACAGACCTATAAAAGCGGTTGGGAGGAAATGCAGCCTGACTTCAAAAAAAGCTAACGGTGCTGGTCTTGAGTTGCACCAGGGAGGTTCAGGTAGGATATGAGGAAAAATTTCTTCTCAGAAAGAGTGATAATGCGCTGGCACAGGCTGCCCAGGGAGGTGGTGGAGTCACTGTCCCTGGAGGTGTTCAAGAGCCATGGAGATGTGGCACTGAGGGACATGGTTAGTGGGGACGATGGGTTGCTGGTTGGACTCCAGAATCTTAGTATTTTGTTGGTTTTGTTTTTGTTTTGTTTGTTTGTTTGTTTGTTTTTCTTGATGATTCTCTGATGATTTTATAATTCTTTAGATCAGCTGGACCTGTCATGGCCCAGCCTCAATGGCAGGGTACCTCTGGCCTGGAGAAAAAGAAGCTCTAGGTGAGACCCAACATTTTTTTTGGTGAAAGCTCCCCTCTGGGAAGTGGCTCCAGTCCCCCAGTGCCGATGTCTGAATGTCTATGAGCTCCACCAGAAAAGGAACCACCAGCAACAAAGGAGGTCTTTTCCTCCTGCAGTCTGCCTCCAGAGCTTCTCCTCTGCTTCTCACAGAAATGAGCTTTTTCTTCATGCCAGGCTAAAAACCTGCAGGTCTCTCTTCCTAACTTCTGAACTTCACGAAGCAACCTGAGAAATGTGGAGTCTCTGATGCTGTTTCCTGAGGCAAAGCATTTAATTCTGTAGCACAATGATCTTTTGAAGTCTGTTAAAAAATGGCCCATTCTGCTCTAAAGGCAGGAAATAAAACTTAAGGTGTCAAATCATAGTACTGTCATTCACCTAAAGCAGACAGCGCATTTCAAAAGACTGACAATAATGTCCTGCAAACAATAATTTTTTTTCTTCTCAGAATTTGTCCATAATTGACTAATTTCCAGCAGGGAAAAGAGATAATGAGAAGCTGCTCATGTTTTAGCCCAGGCCAGCAGCAATGCTGTGGGCTGTAGCTAGCTAGCAAATTGCACCAGTTCAGTCCCTGTAGGGCTAGGTTTTAAGTGTTAAGCTCTTGCAGCAATGCCACCACTGGAGTGTGCCTGCGGGACCTTGTTCCAAATCTTTGCAGCACGTCATTCGCCCCCAAGAGAGTATTTCTTGTTTATGTTTCAGAGAAAATGTTGCTTTTTTTTTCTCCCAATCAATTCCCTAACATAAACGTCCTTGGCGGAGAATTTCTAACATTGACAACACTGTACATCTTTACCTCTCCAGGGTATTGCTTTCTTCTTTGCAATAAAATAGGTCTGCTGCAGTGGGAAAATTCCCAACCTTAACACACAGCACACAGCAGCTCTTCTTTTCTTGGGAAGCAATAGAGAGATACACTAGCAACTGTTCTCTGTATTTATTTTATTATTCACACAAATGTGAATCACTAATCAGCATCTATCTTAAATCACCATAAACTTCCCGACTAGCTTGCTTTGTCTTTTTCTCCAGGCAGCCAGCCCAGCTGGTTCCCATAGGTACTAGCAAAATAAATCCCTGGGAGAGAGATCTAACATTTGATTCTTGCAAGCAAAAGCTTCTAGTATTACAGCCCAATAAAACATCAGTCAGCGCCTGGCAGTGTTCCTTTCTTCTGCTGCATCAGCCCAGCCCCTCCCTGATCTGCATTCCCTCCAGCAGGCAGAAGTCTAATTGAAATATTGACCAAAATAAAACCAATTCCCATAAATATGTACTGTTACCATGAGCTATAATTTTGTTCATTCATTATTACTCACAGTGACAGCCTGAGCCCAGGATGAGTAAGGGCTGCGATGGCAGCCTTCAAGGATGGTCCGTCCCTTTTCACAGGGATTCTGTACTCGTGCAGCATGTAAAGAGAGGGCCACATCAGCTGGGAGAGCTCTGCTGGCAGTAATGGCACCGCATTGATTTTTGCTCATTGAGTTCCAAGCTCCTTGTGCTGAAAGGGAGAATGTTGCCATCTGCATTGCATATCCGGGGGCTTTTTAAGCTCCCTTCATTAGGTTGTACTTAGAGACAATGCTCGCTCTTGATTCAGAAACTATGCACAAACATCTTAAATGGATTCACCAAGCTTCTCCCTGTGGACAAAAGATAGCTCTAAGGGCAGAAACTGGAACATGACTGGTGTCACAGCCCATCTCCGTCACACACCTGTCACTGTATGTGACAGAGAAGAAAATAGGAGTTGGGACAGTACTTTGTGATAGAATAAGGTGTTGTAGGTATTTGTTGTTCAACTCTGAACCAAACAGCTTCAAGAGAAAGGACTGACTGTGTGCTAAATTGCACACTGCCTGCTTCTGTTCCTCTTGGGTTGCTTTCTGAGCTGGCCCAAATGTGCTGTCTGAAAAATGACTGACAGGCACGCTTGAGGGGAAAGAGAATAGGAGATGGAGTATCCTGCTGCCATTTGTGACAGCCAGGGAGGGCTGTAACACGCACTGCAGGCTGCATCAGCTCCAGATGAGTGGCTACACCCTAGTGGAACAGCAGCATTTCACCTGTGTTCCTTGAGAAAACGTATGAATATCAATAAATGCAGGAAGCAGCAGCCCCTCAGGTTCCTGGCTGAGTTCTGATAGCAGCGCTGTGTCAGTTTGGATCTGCTTTTGGCCTTTACCAGATGGGAGGAACCGAGTGTGTAAGGATGCCAAAGAAGAGCCATGTCATGGATGTTGGGAGAGGATGGAGGTCTGACTGCAGCGAAGAGGAGAGGTACTGGAGGACTGTAGCAAGGTATATTTTCTTGTCCAACAACACCAGGTAGCCACAGATTGAGTCATTCCGCATGGCAGAGCATTTAGAATATTGGAGGTTATCGCTCGTGGGATGCAGGATGCAGCTCAGGTGGTGTGAGGAAGGATGCTGATGTCTGCTGCGAGACTCACATGTAGTGGGGGCCTCCCAAAAGGCTGATCTCACGGCAGAGCAGGTGCTGCAGAAGGCTGTACTATGGTTTTCTGTGTATGATTCCCACCCTCAGCCACTTTAAAGCCAGGCATAAGTGAGAAGCCCAGCCCATCTGGCTTTTGTCCTACTTTCTTTTACTTGTATTTTGACAGCGTTCATATTCTGGATGTTTTCTGCAGTCATTGTTTAGCTAGAATGTGCCACTAGTTATTTTTGCTACAGTCTCAATGAAGCAAGCTTTAAGGAGTGAAGGATGAAAGCAGGAGGAAAGAAATACAAATGGAAGAATAAAAGGGTAATCATGCTCTTACGAATTGGAGTTCTGATGTTTTATGAGTACTGTTAGAGACGTGTATAATGCAGTTTATTTTGATGAATAGAAATAACCATACATTTTCCTATAAACTAAGTTCAAGCAAGGCAGTGGAGCACTGGACGGCAAGCTGGAATGCTCATCTCTCCTCTGCACAGCCAAAATGACACAGTGCTCATGCAGACAGAGCCTGATAGCTTTAGCAGAGGCAGATTCTCATGCAGCATCCATCTCCCCCCTGTGCAAGGGTTCTCAGTGTCTCTGGCAGAGGTGATCATCAAATCATAGAATGGCCTAGGTTGGATAGGACTTAGAGATCATCCAGTTCCAACTCTGTTTCCATGGTCAGGATTTTCCTCCATCAGCTCAGGCTGTCCAGGGCCCCATCATCCATGGCCTCGGGCACCTCCAAGGATGGGGCACCCACAGGTCTCTGGGCAGCACTGCCAAGGCCTCACTGCCCTTGGAGTAAAGAATTTCCTCATAACATCTAACCTAGATTTCCCCTCTTTTAGTTTAAAGCCATTCCCCTTTGTCCTATCACTATCAGACTATGTAAAAACTCAGTACCCCCTACTGCTTATAAGCTCCCTGGAGTTATCTCTGGAGATATCTGTCAATGGAACTCCAAGCAGTGAAATGCTCCTGAAAGAGGGTGAAGCTGCAGACCAGACAGTGTAAGCAGGATGCACTATTACATGGCCTCAGCACCTTTCAAAACATGACATCTGCTCCTCTCTGCTGTGTCTGTCTTCAGGAAGCGCAGCGATGCCATGAGCACAGCTCACCCCCTTGCTGCCCTGGTCCCACTTGTACACTGCTGTAACAGTATTACAGTGTGGTCACA